CAAAGTTGATAAAATGTATAAAAAGTTATACTAACTTTTATAGTAAAATATTGATTAAAGATTTTTTTTCTTTAGTGTATAAGCAAATAATTATTTGAAAAACATAGAGAAAGTAACAAAGCATGAAACTTACATTGTAGTTTACGTGTTTTGGATGATATGATCATTTGTAATGCTCATGTCTCTGAATAACATGAATATGAAGAGAGATTTAAGTACATATCGATCCACAAGAAGAAACGTCATAATCGTTGGTCTGCGCATATAAACTAAAATTGTAAATTAAAAAACCAATAGAAAAATACATATGAAAGCATTCTTCTCCTTCTAAGCTCTAACAAACAATCATTAAATAGAAATATAATACCTATGAACATATTTAAAAAGTAAGAATTAGAATTCAAATAGATCTACGATTACTCAAATCATATAGAAAGATAAAAAAAATTTCCTGCATCGTGGTGAAATCGTTATAATAGGGCATCTGCATATAAACCAAAAGAAAAATCAGCTCTGATGAAATATGTATATGTAAAAGCTTAATGATGTCAAATAACAAAAACAATATCAACATAAAAAGTTCAGAATAAAAAGTTCAGTGGCTTCGTTTCTCATACTGTGAATGTCTTATATATAGTAAATTGATGGATGTTTCTCAATGATTTAGCTTGCATGATAAGCTAATAAAATGATATGCATATGATATGATTTTAACTTGCGCAAGTAATCAATATTAATAAGGTAAGTTAATAAAAATAAGTTTCCTAATTAGATACAAATTGTTAAATGTTATTAAGCAATGTAATCAATATGATATCAAGAGTAAATGGTTTACCGTATTTGTAATAAGGAAACTTATTAATACATGTATTAATTAATATTCTTGTGCAAGTAATATGTAATGAGGTTAGTAATTAGTGTTACTTTCCTATTAGGTTGTCGATGATAAAAATAAATTAAAAAAAAATTCTAAAAAATCAACCAATAAGATTAAGAGAATTCTTCTGAGAAGCTCTGTATGAGTGCCATGTGGCAAATGTACTTCTTTTTTAATGTATAGGGGGATCTATATTTATAGTATGTGTCGTGTGAGACTAAATTGTTACTTTACTTGTAATAATGCATTTCTTTTCAATTATTAATTACTTTAGTTAAAGCTTAATTACTAATTAATATTTGTATATCTCTATTTAATTTAGACTTTTTAATACATATAAAAAATATGCAAAATTTCTGTATTTTGAAGCATACACAATGGTAAGTAGGGATTTTTTTTCTGTGCATTATATATACGGCTATTAACATGATTAAACTACAACCTTACTAAAATATAGCGAACATATTACTTTAGAGGGTAATTACTTTTCTGGGTAAAATGGCTAAAATATATTTCTTCAGGTGTTATCTTTAATTAGATATTAGTGTTTAGAGGTTAGGATTGGTTACAAAAGTGTCATTAAGTCAATTATATGATCATCATCCTAAGATCGATATATTAAAAGGTGATGACGTACATGATGGTAATCTACTATTGTAGAGTTTGGCTTAAAAAGAGATATAATCAAGGTAAAAAAAAGGTAGTGTGAATACTGAATAGTTGCCCCACAAAAGAAGAAGAAGGTATTGTGAGTTATTACTTATTTTGTGCTATGAAGCCTGTGATATTATACACATTGATTGTTCTTGATAATACTAGAATATATATATATATATATATATATATATATATATATATATATATATATATATATATATATATATATATAACGGTTTAAGTACTTAATTGCAACACTATTTCAAGTGTGGAACACAATTTGATACATTCATTACAACTTTGCATGAATAGTCTTGAAACATATTACAAAGTTGAGGACTATTATCCGTTAACCAATCCATTTATGACCATTTAGTTCAGGGCTAGGCATTTTATCTAATACCCGAATCCGTATCCAAACCCGATCCAAAAATTCGAACTGAAATCAAACCGAAATAGCAAAATATTCAAACGGATATTAAATTAGAAGAGATTGGATATCCGAATCCGAATGGGTAATAATAACCCAAATATATATCCAAAAATAACTAAACGTATGTATACTTAACCATATATTTTTAATTCACTTTTCTCATTTTTTTTCTAATGTTATACATTATTCAGTCACTATTCAGTAGCTAAATATACCGACTATTTAGTAACTACGTATATTTAGTCGCTAAATAATCATTAAAATAGTTGTTCGTCGGTCGTCAATTTAGCGACTACTTAGCGACTATTGCACGACTGATTTTTGGGTCACTAATCAGTCGCTAAATACCAACCGATCTATAACTAATTTATTTACCGACAAAGACTATAACGACTGCCTTAATCAGACGCTAATCAATCGCTAATCTTGATTTAGTGACTGATTACCTACTAATTTGGCAGTAGCAATAATAAATTTTCTTGTAATGTCAAGCTTTTATTTCATGTATTGACAAAATTTACATCCAAAATTTCAACACTACAATTAAGTTAATTTCTGTTTATTTTAAATTTCAGTCTCCAAATCTATTAATCGTCCTATTAAAAATTGAAAAACATATAAACTAAAGATACATTTTTAAATATAAGAAGTTTAAAATAATTTGAATTTTTAAAAAGCTAAATATCTGAAAATAACTGAATCCGAACTAAAAATATCTGAACCCAACCTGAAATGTAAAAATATCCAGACGGATACTAAAATCTTATACCGAAATACCCAAAAATCTGAAATTCCCAATCCGAATTTGAGTGAGTATCCAAATGTCAATCCTTAATTTAGCTCTTGAAATTGTTAATCTTAAATATACGTATTAAGCTGTTTTAATATTATCTGTTCACCAATCTTTTTACGAGTTACAATAGAGCTATGATATGTATCGCCTATCAGCCATGTAGAATTTGTTTTCCAAAAAAAGTTTCAGAGGCCAGAATATTTTCAGTTACTTATAACTTATATGAAATAACGAAGAATCTTTTCCGCATTTTTTTTTGCTAAAATTCTTTTTTTCGAGAAGACACTGACTTTTTCCCCTTTACGGTTGCTGATTACTTAATTTCGAGTGTGCATATTAACTCACTAAACTTTCCTAAAATACACAGATTTATATCTGTAGCATGTGTTAGTTAATACATATATATTCTTAGACAAAAAAAAGAGTTTGAATTTTACAGATTAAACACGAAATATAATATCGCAACTTAGTACTTTTAGATAAATCACACGAAAACACAAATTATAAAAACAAAACTAATTGAATATTTGATTAATCCAAGATATAATCAAGCTGAAACTCGTTTAGCTTGTTCCTCGTTACCACTGAGTTGCAACTGAGAGTTAGCCTTAGAAAGATTCTCCTCTTTTTCATCATCTTTTGGTGTTGTCTTGTAATAACAAGCATATAGTATAAGCTGTACTGCTCCTGATATTGTTCCTAGTCCATTTCCAATCTATAATAAAAGAATAAAATAAACAAAACTAGTAAGTACTTCTAAATCGAAGACACTAATGATAAATATATAGATAAATGGTTTACCAAAATGAAAAGATCGAATTTAATGAGGGCGTAAATAACCCAAATAACTCCGTTCAGAAAGTTGGCAAGTGAGAGAGAGAACGGCATGTACTTCACACTTTTGGTCTTGATCACCTTACTCTGAACGAAGATGTATTTTTTATTATCAAAAGTAAAAATATATAAAAGTTTAGGGAAAATAGGAAATTAAAATATCGTACCATGATGGTGAGAGGAGCAATATACATGATGCTAATAAAAACGACACAAATGATTCCAACAAAAGTAGATCTCTGGTTATGTGTGTGGAACAATAGCAATGTGCATGTGGCTACTATTCCTACAAATACCATCTCTCCTATCAGCCATAGTCCCACTTTCACCTGCACCATATTTAACTAAACCAACTCAGAATAAAATTGTATATAGCATTGTATTGCCTATCACAATCCTAAAACCAGAAACGTTCATTGTCCACTATTGTTTGTTGCTATAGTGTCTTGGCGTTCATTTTAAGGCAGAAGGCAATAATTGAATCGACTTGACTTAGTTTTTTGGTTTGATTACCATTGAGCGACGAGCTCAATTTATGTCAATATATACAATATATGTTATGTTAGTTGTTGCATCACAAAACTCAAATATAAAATTATGTATCACTCTCGTTTAATTCTTTCAAAATCTAAATAGACCAATATATTAATAATTAATTTTAAATATTATAATAAGTATAGAGTTAACCATTAACCAATAAATATCTCAAATATAAAAAAAAAATTAGCTGCATTTTTGTTACCTTGTACTTAAATATCTCTACGGATATTTCTAGGAGAAAAATATGATTCAAACTAAGTAGAAGCGAGACGGAAATCAAAACTAAACCTGATTTGGTATGGTTTCATAATCTTTTTGTGAGGGGGAGGCCGGAGGTTGCATAAGAATGATCGTTAAACTTTTTTTTTTTTTTTTGTCAACAATGATCGTTAAACTATGCTACGAAAATGAATAGAAAAAAAAATGAATAGAAGAAAGAAAGATGTAAGTATACTATTTTACCTTGCGTGGGGTGGGAGAAAAGTAGAAGTAGACGGAGAGATAGAAGAGCTCAATGGCAAGACCAGTGACATTAATAGTGATCACAAGAAGGCTATCTGGATGGACTATTGGTAAGCCATAAAAGACCCATAATGCGCAATTAAGCACGGTGGCTAAGTACGGGTCGGCTTTGTATTCCTCGACCTTCTTCATTTTGTATATTGTTATGAATGTTGGTCTGTATTAATTATACATATACATTCTATAATTATTCAATATTTCAAAGTATGTCATGTATGTTAATGTTAGCTATGTTCGAAGGATTAATGATTACATGGGAGAGAGGAACAAGAACAAGGAGATGACATTTCCTGCGACAGTTAACAAATATTATCAATATTTTTTTTTAAAAGTATAAGAAAATCTTTAAATGTTGTTCATACACAAAGCAAACCAATATTTGTATGTATTTTGGGCTTACCAACAATGCCGGCAATGTTTCTCGCAACTGTCGCGCTAACCATTTTACGTTAAAAGCAAATTCTAAATAATAAGAACCAAGAGCACAAGAGAAAGAGAGATGTAAATATGTGTGTGTGGGTTTCGCTTATATTTATAGAAACACGATGAGACGTTGGTATAAATATAAGTACCCATGCATACATATACAAGTATGTGTATTTGATGACGAAGCGAAACTCAAGAAGTTTAAGGAATTGAAATGAAAGCGACCTTGCGTTTTTCTTTCCCGTTCAAGGAAACAATCATGACACTTATCTGACTATCTAGCAATACCTTTTCGCTGGCTTATTGTTTTTGGAGCCATGATTATAATTGTGCCTACCCTAATTAAACAGAATACGTATATATATATCACATGCATGTGCGTATGTAAGTTATTTTAGTTGTCATAGTCTTATTCATGGCCATAGTTAATTTACAAAATAACACTATTCAGAGAGTTCCACGTGAGTGTAAGCGAGCAAGCTGATAGAAAATCAGTTCTCGCAACATTTTTTAATCATTTTCCAACTTTTAGAATGGCTTCTGAATTTGTGTTGTCATATTAACTTGTTTGTTATCAAATGATGGGAAAAGGTAAAAAGTTTGCTAATCTTCATGGTTCCATTAATTTGAGTATATTCTCTTGATTTCTGTTTTAGAGTTGTCCCATATGTTTAGAATTATTTTAATTAATCATTTTTCTGTGAACTAAGGTGATGTATATGGTTGCAAAAAAAAACGTGATATATATATAAACGCCGAATCATCTATAAAAGTAGAATTTTTAATAGTTACATATTTGATCCATCCAAATTTTGAATAAGATAAAATCATTATAATCTTGTAAAAATCCAAGTAAACAAAATAAAATTGCTTTGTTTTTTTATCTCGAATATATTATGAATCACTATTGAATTAAATCCTTTTTAACTTGAATTAAGTCTTTGTATAACACAAAAACAAGAAGTCCGAGATTGTATACCTGATAAATGAAAATTAGTACAAATTTTAATGGGTGAGGTAAAGTTATAGAGAATTAGTCAAAACTAACAAAAGTTTCAAATGATTAATCAATTTTTAAGCAAAAGGGAATTGCCTTTACAGGTGTTGTGACTTGTGAGAAGCTAGACAAAGCAAATGATTTTTTTCTGTAGATGAAAAGAGTACAAAAATAAAGTAAGCATGCGACTGGTGTCGATTTCGAATTTGGATTCCGATGTAACCATTCTTCTAACGATCATTTTCCTTCTTTATGGATTCAGTGGATGATAAAAATCACAATATCTGTGCTTGGAATTGAATAATATAATGTACATATAAATTTATATATAAATTCTTAGTGATGGGTAAGGTATACCTACAATTAGATCACTGTTTTTTGTGGTCAACAAAATATAATTAATTGGAAACCCTTTAGCAACAAAAAAGTAAAAAATAATAATAGTCCAAACTCTTTAGCAACAATATATATACTACTGTCAGAAAATAATAGTAAAGGAGCTATAGAACCTACATTGTAATTGATTGTTAGGCCATCTCCATTAGGAGATCAAAAGAGGTTTAAAGAATGGGTTCACACGGTTTACGAGGCAAATAGTAGTGAACCCGGGTCTTGTGAGCTCGTTGCGGTGATACCGTATCATGAGTGGTTCGCCACGTGGCGGACCCTGATTCGTTGAATTTTTTTTTTTTTTAAGTAAAAAAAAAAACACTATGTGGCGAACGCCATTAGGGGTTTATTGATGAAGCTGCTCTTATATGACTTGCAAACATACTAAATTACTACGGTTTCTCATCCATGTTCTATAGAATAAGGAATATCAATATTACTTCAAAATTAATTCATTGACTAATGTTATTGAGTCTGTTTTCATAAAAAAAGGGTAATATTGTTGAGTTGGCTAAACTGATGGGACATATTCCGATGAACGAATGGTAACACCGTGACAAGACTAATCCGTCAAGGGCTGCGAAAACTTGAAATATATTGAAGAAATAATATCATTCTAGGGCAGTTTTATGTTTTTTATGTCACAATAAGACAGTTTATGCTACATAGGCAGTTTTTCTTAACTCTATCTACTTACTCTTCTAATCCTAAACGACATAGTTAGGAAACCAGCAACTAAAGATTTTGTTTAAGCAGAAATTAACCTCAGCCCTTCATCCATATGCCATCCAACGCTTCAGCTTCAACCTGTTTCTTTTGATTAGACACATATTTCTTCCATCTCTTCCTTTTTCTCTTTTGTCTTCTTCTCCTTCACTTCCTAATTGTTTTTAAAAATCAAATATGAATCTTATAATTTTTTTTTCTCATTTTTTTTAATGAAATCGTGTTCTCCATTACTCAATCTATCTTTTGAGATCTGTGAAGATGCATTTCCGATGTTGGTGTACACCTTATTTAATGTACACATGTTATTTTGTGTACGCTTTTTTGACTTATACACGTGTTTATTCAAAATGAACTAATATATGTGAATAAGTTATGTTTATAAGGTACACTGGTGGTTGCTTACTAAAAAAATACCAAACTGCATAACAATAGGTGTATAGATGGTTTTGGGTGTTATTCATATCTAATGATTTCTAGCTTTGATTTTAGTTCATTAAATTTTTTTCCAATACATTTGATTAGCTTTGAAATTTTGGAGGTAATATGAAAGCAATAAAAACAAGGATCATCGTGTAATTATAAAGAAGTACTGGAATGAGTAATCAAGGAGTTTGTTGGTTATTTTGTGTACACTTTGGGACATGTACACCTATACTTCAAAAATGGACCAATATATGTGAAGAAGTTGTACACAAGTAGGTGGACAGACGATAGTTTACTAAAAATAAAATACATAATAGATCAAGTTAAACTGAATATGATGTACATGAAAATAGGTGTACACATGGGTTATGCATTTTGTAAAGCCTTTGTAATATAAAACCACAATTGATGTGCAACAAGCATATTTCGAACATAAGTGTACATTAATAATATATAATATTGTACATAACCATGATTGTACACATGTACATAACCACGAATGTACACATGTGTATACGACCACAATTATACACATTTACACACATGTACGTAGTCATTGTACATGTGTACACTACCATTATGTACACATCCACGTGGTCTTCCAATTAAAATTTTTTTAATGAATGGCAATTTTGTAATAAGTTTACCTTCTTCCTAGTAGGGTTTTCTGCGTTTTCTGCAAATATAACACACAGCCGCCATTAATTTTTATCATACAATCTTCATTGTTTTGTATTTTATCTCTAGAACTTACTAATATCTCTATATAGATTAACATATTATAATCCAAAATCAAGAAAAAACAGATAAAAACCCACAAAGTAAACGCATAAGCCTTCACTATAATTTTCTTATACATAGACACTTCCAAAAATATATAGATTAATAGATTAGAATTCAAAACCAAGAAAAAAAATAGATAACAAAATAATCTCTCCAGTAGCCCTCTTCTCGTTTATCTCTGTCGTGCAAGTGAACAAGCTTTTTTATTTTCTTCTTAGAGAAACTAAAACCATTCAAACATAAAATAAATTAAAAATATATAATAATCTCTAACTAATTAAAATGTCTGTAGTTACATTTTTAAGGGGCAAGTTAAGTCTTTTCATCAAATAACTGCCTCAGTAGTGGAAACTGCCTCTTTCTGATAATAAAAACACAAAACTGTCCCACAGTGAAAAGTACTCTATATTGAAATACTTTCTTCTGTAGTCGCCAGGCAACTGAAAACATGAAATAACATTCCTAAGGCCAAGACACCATGTTATGTCACCCTTGCTGTTCATCATTTCCACTATCACCGAACGTGTTCTAGTAGAGAAAATCGGCATCACACACATCAAATTATTCACCCTCTTAAGATCGTTGATCAAATTATTCACCCTCTTAAGACCACTATCAACAGGACCAGTTGACGACCTTCGGTGGTGAACTTCCCATATTTCATATATTATATTTTAAGATTAATGTATATAATATAACATGATGCAATGATTCAATCTTGTTTCTTATTGTAAGAAATGTACTGCAAAGCTTTTGCTTTTCTTTATTTAGACTATTTATAAATGGACGGCTTGTAATAGTTCCTTGTTAGGATTCAATTACATCGTGTTTTGGTATACAATTTTATAGTAAGTTTACTGACCTAAAAGCATTTACTCCCTTTTTTTTATTCTCTTCTAATAATATAAGATTTTAAGATTTTTTTCCATTTCTAATTTTTTTAATAAATTTGTTGGCAGAATTTAATTTAATTTTTATAACCACTTATATGATGCAGTATTTTGTTGGCTGGTTAAAGTATTTTTTATTATATGTTAAAAGGTTTCAATATTTTTAAAAGTTATTCTTTATGTGTTTCCTAAACGTAAAGCTAAAATATTACAATCAATGATTAACAAACGATAGTAGATTAACTTTGTTTTTTTTTTTTTTTTTTTAAAAAGGCATTCAACTTTTGGTTTTTTCATATCATTATTTGAACATGTCCAAAAATATTTCGATTTTAGCAGTAACATACAAATTTGCCTTTTTCTTTTTGCTTTTCGTGTTCTTGCTTTTCTATTTTGGTCGGCCATTTTTCATTGTTTTTGCCTTAGTATTGGGTAGGATCATCAGTGACCCGGTTACCCGATATCGATCTTTGAAACCACCTGCTATATAACAT